TTTTCCAAGGATAAATTTTGAAATGTCGTCGCAGGTTCGTTTTGACAAACGCACTCGCGACCATATGAAAAGTACTCGCATATCAGAAGCTCCTGTGCTAAGCTTCTTGCCCAGAGTCAAGTACTTTGGCTCTCATCCAGTAATACCGTATTTTTATTGTCTTACAAAAGTAGAATTTTGAAAGAGTATTACTTCAGGGTGCTGAATTTATGCTTTTTCAGAAAAAATCGTTATTGATAGAGTCATTGTCAGAATCCTTGTTCCGAGACAGCTCAAAGAATCAAAAAAGAAGGCTCTTCTTTTCTGATAAAAAATGACTCAGAAAGAATAAGATGCATCTTCTGTTAGCATATCCAGTATAAATATAGCTGATTGAAGATCGGCGAAGAACAATGACAGAACCACAAAAAAAAACATTCAGATATCCGTTTACGAAGAAACAGTGTCAGGAACTGAACTGCAAAAAGTAATACAAATAAGGGCGGGATTCAGTATTGAGGAAGCAAAAGTTAGCCAAAAAGTGGTCATTTTTTTTAATATTAAAACAATTCTTTCAAGGAAGTAAAAATCAGTTTTCTTAAATATTGTCAGACTTTCCCAAACTCGCTTTTCTTAACTGTTATCAATCGTTGTTAGAAGTTGTTAAACAGAACTAAAGTCAGAAATCACTTCCCCTCCCTCTCCTCCTCCGCCCCTCCCCTCCCCCTCCCCTCGTCCTCTTCCCCCTCGCCGCCTTTGTCCCGTCCGTATTCGTTCTCTATGAGACGCAGAGGCAGTGGGGAAATAGTTTGAGTGGTTGCAGTGCCAGTACCAACCATCCGTTAGCTAGGCTTTTAAGGGCTGCTTAAAAGGAAACTGATAAAGATATCAGTAAAAATATATAATAAATAACAACGCGCACCAGACTAACAGGTGCGGTTATGCGTTTTGTGCAGCCCAGCCCATCGAACGATTGCGTATTAATGATATTCACAGCTTTGTACTTCCGTCTGCAAAAATAGTTGAAACACTGAAAAATAGTTAAAAACTTCAAACACCTGCGCATGAAAGCTGAGTTTGAAATCTTGAAGGATGAATATCCTTCCGTGATTCCCGAGTTAATAGTTTACCCGCCCAAATTTTCACGAGGCCGTAGGCAATACCCGAAAGCGCGGGAATGCTGAATTTGAATAGGCAAGGATGAGCATGGGTGGGAGGTCATTACCCTAAAATTTCAGCTTTGTAGACTTTCTAGTTCCTGAAATAATAACTTACCCGTAAAAAATTTCACTAGCTCGCAGGTGATACCCGAGAGCGCGGGAACACCGAATTTGAATAGGCAAGGTTGAGCGTGGGTAGGGAGTTGTTACCCTAAAATTTCAGCCTCCTAGACTCCGTGTTTCCCAAAATAAAAATTTACCCGTTAAAAATTTTCACGGGGCCGTACATGTTACCCACGGGCAGGGGAAGCCGAATTTAAATTTTCTGGGTAGCACATGGGCGGTGGATATGCCCGCAAAATTTCAGTCTTCTAGCTTCCATGATTCCCGAGATACTGATTCTACCCGAAAAACTTCACGGGGCTGTACATGTTACCCGCGAGTACGGTAAGGTTGAACTTAAATTTGCCGCGTCAAACGTTAGCGGGGAATACTTCAGGCGCCTAGATTTTATAGTTCCCGAGTTGAAAGAGCGGGACAAAATGTGGGACACACACACACACACACACACACACACAAACAAATCCCGTGACAATATGCGTTTTGTACTGCTGTTACATAGCACAAAACGCATAAAAATGTATTAACCCAGGCTGGAAAACACCGGGTGCGAAAGTGCATTTTTGCATTAAACTTGCCGTCACTAATAGCAGGAATATTCCCTGCGCTGCAGCCAAATAAATAGAAACTTCACCATACATGTACTGGAGCTATGTTATACATGTTACAGAATCCCACTTTTGTGGATGGGTTGTGGCCAGCATAGCATGTGGATGTGGAGATTATGTATACAAAATAGCGAATGAATGTGTACGAGAAACAACATCACGTAAACATCTGAGTACATGTACTGGAGCTATGTTGTACATGTACCAATGTCCACCTTTGTGCGCAGGACAGCAGCGATACGTGAGATTTTCTGTACAGGATAGCCTGGGCTCATATTGACCATGCTTTGTTTTCTTCTGACATAAAGCAGAACGGGCATCGGTTGGGATGAGGATTGCGCTATAGAGCCGCACGGACCTGCAAGTACATGCTTAACAGTCTTTTGTATGAAGCTCGGTCGTTTTTTCGGTAAATGCTAGCTTTTTGAAAAAGTGAAAATGCAAATTTCTAGTTCACTAAAAAGTGAAAGTATTGCTCCAGCGGTCGTTTGTGAGAAAGGTTAAGTATGCAAGTGAACTAATGTTCACTAGGCGCTTGTGGGGGAAGATATTAAAAGAGGGGGTGACACACCGCATAACAGCGTGTTTTTATTATATGCATCTACTTTGAGTTCGCAACATCTAAATGCAGAAAGCACAACCATGCCGCATTCCTAGGCGAGTCACTGTTTTCATGATCGTTGTGGAGGAACAATGGCTCGAAATGCCTGCGAAAGCAAAAATGAATGCAGCACCGTGGTGCTGTTTAGGTACAAAACTTTTAAAGATAAAAAATTAGCATGGATGTCAGGTCCAGGCTAAACAAAGAAAGGGGAAATTTTTTAATTTGAAATTCACCGCTCTGTTTCCTAGTTACCAAAATTATCAAAATTGGTCACTGATAGCCCAGTGACAGCTCAACTTTGCTCTCATACTAAATGTTGAAGGTTCAATTTCGCAGCGGGAAAAATTGAGCATGAAGTTATTTAATGCGTTTTATTTCATAGTTACGAAATAATAATAATTTTTCAATTTTGAAATATAAAATGAATTATGAGATATTCAGAGCATAATAGAAACTCTTCAGAATTTTTAAAAAAGTTAAAAGTGACGTGGTTAATTAAACGAATAGCTGAAACAAACTGTAGCCCAACTGAAAGCGGACCGAAGCTATTTGCCTGAACAAATATTAATTTATGCTTTATTCTTCTTTTTTTGGTACATTTCTGTTAGAATAAAAGGCCTGGAATCTGGCACACAGCAGTAAAATTCAACTGTCGTTAACCTGCCGTTTACCGTCCCAGAGCTCTTGTTATAACGATGAAAACGGCTCCCTGAAATCCTACGCTCCTTACGATAGCTTGTTATGAATTGTTGGTCATTTTGATGATGGACTCAAAAATAAAAAGACGGATTCTTCACCAACTCACTTTTAGCAGTTCATAGTCATTCAAATGTCTATCGTCTCTAAGAATCCAGTACCGTATATGTAAAAGAAATCTACGAATATTCCACTGACTTTTTTGAAGCGCTATTTTCCTAAATTATC